TTTTTTTTACACCTTCCCATCGCCTACTTTGAAGAATGAATCTTGCTCCCATCTCCCAAGACACACGTGTACTTGTGATGTTTACATTCTGTTGTGTATGGTGGAACAAAAACTCCCCTCATAATGGCTCTTGGTCTAGCATTTGCAATAAGCCTGCCTTGTGATATCCTCACCTGAAAAAACCATTCTGCCATTTGTTTGTGTCCACATCTCACCCAGCCCGGTGTCCGTCTATCGTAATTGGTTGTCGCTGGCACCCATTGACTAAGCTCCAGCCGCGGCACCATAGACAGGACGTTAAATGCGCTGTCAGCTAGGCGAGCGCAGATGCGTGAGAGTGAAGATGCTGATTTTGCTATCCCTCAAAACCATGTTAGTTCGGCTACACTAGAGGTCGCACTATCATGTATCGCATCGCGACCTTTGACGGTCAATGACTTTGCCAGCACTACGGCCTCCTTCGTTTACCTCTTTACATATCCGTTCTCCCATCCGCTAACGGCTACAGCCGCGCCAGCGCCGTCACTCCACAGTCTCACGCATTTCGCGCAATTTACCTTGCCCTCTTCTTGATTTGTGACTCATCTTACACCTCAACAGATTCAATCAATGCACTCGATTCGTTCCCTTCCATTACGTGTGTCCCACCTTTCATTTGGCTTTCTTTGCTGAACATCTCCCACTCAAGACCATGTTTTGCCTCACCGCTGAGACGCTGTCGTCGTCAGCGGTGGATCGACGCCTTGCACCGTTTACGAATCTTTTTTCAGTCCGGCGAGAGCATGTCCTCCAATGACCAGCCATGGTGGAAGGAACAGGAAGAAATAGTCATATCCGGAGTTTCCGGAAGATTTCCACGGTTCGTGGGATCTCCAGCATCACTGCTGGCAGATCTTATAGTCAAAAAATACTCATTTTTTCTGCAGATGTGAGAACGTGAATGAATTTGGAGATCTGCTACTTCAAGGAGAAGATCTCATCACAGAAGACGATCTCAGGTGGCCACCTGGTCAGTGATCAGCGTTTTAACACGTGACAGACGAGTTTTGTTCCAATTAGTCTGACCAATTGCTCGGCCGAGTGCCAACGACACTTAATCTTTTATGAACTCACCGAACCGAACATGCGAACGCGTTGATCATTGGATTTGCTACAGGTTTCTACGATCTGCCGAAACGACATGGCAAGCTCAAGGATCTCAAGAAGTTCGATGCGCAGTTCTTCTCTGTGACTCCGAAGCAAGCAAACTTCATGGACCCTCAAGTCCGCATCCTTCTTGAGGTGGCCTGGGAAGCGATGGTCGACGCAGGTGTGTTCCCTTGAGTGTGCTTTGATCTCTCGCAAAGTTGGTCCGGTTGGTCCGGTTCATCGGTGACCAAGTAATGGCCCCGATCTCCCTCAATGGTCTCAATCGTGAGGCAGGAACTTTTTGCAACTAGGCTATGCTGGTGATGTTATACATAGAGGGCTGAACGAGAGCGCATGAACTGCCGAGACGCAGAGTTCAGCGCCAGGCTAGCTGTGTGCCCTGTTGTACCATGTAACCTTGAACCTTCTTTAAGCAGCAAACACGGTCTTCATTCTGTTATTCCAAAGCTTGCTTGATTTAGGGTTCAAGAAGGCTCTTGTGCATATTCGCTCTGCTAATCCGTTGATTTCAGGAATCAATCCAATAGACTTACGTGGGTCGCGCACTGGAGTGTTTGTTGGATGTTCCGCTTCGGAGACTTCCGGTGCTCTCACCCAAGATCCGGAGACGGTCACCGGCTACACTCTAACCGGATGCGTTCGATCGATGTTCTCGAACCGTATCTCATACACATTCGATCTACAAGGACCGTCATTCTCGGTCGATACAGCCTGTTCTAGTTCCTTGCTGGCTCTTCAGCTAGCTGTCGATGCTATTCGTCAAGTACTGTTACATTTAGACTTGGCAAGAGTTGATGCAGTATCGAATTTGCCTTTTCAGAAGCAGTGCGATGCCGCCATCGTGGCTGGGGCTCACCTGACCCTCACTCCCACTGCAGCCTTACAATTCCTCCGTCTGGGAATGCTCACCGAAAAGGGCAGTTGTCGTTCCTTCGACGATTCCGGAGACGGATACTGTCGTACTGAAGGAGTGGCAGCTATATTCATCCAGCGGAAGTCGAAGGCCAACCGCATCTACGCCACCGTGCTCCATGCCAAATCTAACACTGACGGTTAGTGGTCATCACGATTTTGAGTCTGATACACTAAAATTCTTTTTAGGGTACAAGGAACAGGGTATCACATTCCCATCTGGCGAACGTCAGGCTCAGTTGCTTGAGGAAGTTTACAATGAAGCTGGAGTCGATCCCAACAGCGTTTACTACGTGGAAACCCATGGAACAGGAACCAAAGTTGGAGATCCTCAAGAAGCTAACGCGATATGCCAAGTTTTCTGCTCAAATCGCAAGGAACCACTTCTCATTGGATCCGTCAAATCTAACATGGGCCATGCAGAGCCCGCGTCCGGTCTCTGCTCTATTGCGAAGGTATGGATGTGGAATGCAAGCCGTTTCCAGCCTTATTCACGTATTTCAGGTTCTTGTCGCAATTGAGCGTAAATTAATTCCACCAAACCTTCACTTTAACACACCCAACCAGTATATCCCTGGTCTTACTGATGGTCGATTGAAAGTTGTAACTGAACCTACTCCTCTTCCTGGAGGTGTCATCGGTATCAATTCCTTTGGATTTGGAGGCTCTAACACTCACGTCATCCTCAAAGCGCCTGATCATTCTGCTCCACCTTTGAGCGAAGTACCATTCACAAAAATCCTCACGTCAGTTTTACTTACATATATGATTTCAAGACTGCCAAAACTGTTCTTATATCTTCTTATTATAGATACTGCGGTAGAACCCAAGATGCCGTGCAGTACGTCTTCAGCGTTGTGGAGAATAATGTCAATGACGGCTACTTGCAAGCCCTTCTTGCGAACCAGGCCAATTTACCAGCGAAAGACACGCCGTTCAGAGGGTATATGCTCATAAATCGTGGAGGTGACCAGCCACCCCTCAAGGATGTACAGAAGGTGATTTTCTGGGTCCTGGTACGATCATCTCTCACCTAAATGTCCGGCTATGCAGGTATCTATCACTGAACCACGTCCAATCTATTTCATCTACTCGGGTATGGGTTCGCAATGGCCTGGAATGGCGCAAAATCTCATGATGATTCCTGTGTTTGACGAATCGCTGCGTGCTTCAAGCAAAGTGCGTTGTTATAGTAAAAGTCTCTGAACTGATCTTTCATATTCCTTTAGACGTTGGAAGAATTTGGATTGGATGTCTATGGCATGCTTTGCAACTCTGATCCATCCCAGTATCAAAATAATACTTTGAATTGTATGCTTGCTATCACTGCCATACAAATAGCTTTGACAGACCTGCTGTTCTCGCTCGGTAAATAATTTCGGGCATTTCAAGCATATCTGAAAATTTGCGAATTTTTTTTTTACAGGAGTGACTCCTGATGGTATCATTGGTCATTCTACTGGTGAGATGGGTTGTGGTTATGCTGATGGAGGCATCACTCGTGAACAGACCATGCGTCTCGCATATCATCGCGGTACCACGATGATGAAGCACAAAGAGATCAAGGTACGGCACGACTAATCAGCTGAATATCTAAGTTCAATGTCTTAGGGAGGAATGGCCGCTGTTGGGCTTACATGGGAGGAAGCTGCAGCACAATGCCCTGAAGGTGTCGTACCAGCATGCCATAATGGAGCCGATTCCGTCACTATCTCCGGAGATGGCGAGAAAGTATTGAAGCTTTGTGAACAGCTGAAGGAGAAGGGCATTTTCGCCAAGGTAACTACGGCAAATGCGAAGACGCTCAAAATAATCAACATTTAATCTACAGTCCGTCGACTCCTCCGGGATACCATTCCACTCTCCAATGATGGCACGAGTCAAGGAGCCTATGCTCCAGGCGATGCGCACGGCTGTGCCTGAACCAAAACCAAGATCCTCTCGTTGGATTTCTACCTCTATTCCCGAGAAGGATTGGGAAAGCGAGCTTGCTAGCACTTGGTAAAAGCCCAGCACCAGTAGCAATATTGAAAGTGTCATTACTATCCGTTTTGTAGCTCTGCCGACTACCATGTGAACAATGCCATCTCACCCGTTTTGTTCTACGAAGCGCTGCAAAAGATACCCCCAAGTGCGGTGACAATCGAGCTGGCGCCACATTCCCTGATGCAAGCCATTCTGCGTCGATCTCTACAGAAAACTGTTAGCAACATAGGTTTGATGAACAAGCCTAAGACCGAGAACGAGAACGAGTTGGAGACGTTCCTGCAGGTAGAAGCTGTTTTATATGCTCCTTCATACATATCCAAGTAACTTCTCCTTTCTAGCATACATATCCAAGTAACTTCTCCTTTCTAGTCGCTCGGTAAAATCTACCAAGCTGGAGTGAACATCCGCGTCGAGGACCTGTATCCTGGTGGACGATTCAAGGGTGTAGTGCCAAGAGGAACACCTATGATCGGCCCGATGTGGAAGTGGGACCATTCTCAAGACTGGCCCGTCATCGATGGCCGTCACATGGCCGCTGCTGGAGGTGGCGGACTCGCCGTATCCGCTTCCTATCATATCGATCCGTTCTCGGCAGATTCCAAAGTCAGTAAAATTATGAGATACGCTTCTCAAAAGATAAATTTCAAAGTATTCAGGAGTCCTATCTGCTTGATCACTGCATCGATGGCCGCGTGTTGTATCCGTTCACTGGCTATCTAGTGCTAGCTTGGAAGACCCTGGCCAAGCTCAATGGAGTTGACTTTCAGAAAACAGCTGTTGTTTTCGAGAACATCAATGTCTACTCAGCTACTATTCTAACAAAGCCAAGTGCGTAATTTGCTAAATGTAGCCAAAGCACGTTATATATCTTTCTTATTGCAGTCAAGCTCGATTGTGTTGTGACACCCGGAAATGGCATGTTTGAAATCCTTTCGGAGGAACAAGTGGCTGCTTCTGGAAGGATTTACATCCCTGAGGAGAACCAGCCATTCTACTACGGCAAGCTCAGTGACATTCGCACTTCAGAGATTGCAGATAGAATCGAGCTCGACACTGAGGACGCTTACAAGGAGTTCCTTTTGCGGGGTTAGTTCTTGATTCTGAAAGTTTGGCCCAGTTCGCTGATGTGTGTCGTTCAGGCTACGAATACGGACAAGCTTTCCGTGGAATCTACAAAACGTGCAATTCTGGCGAGCGTGGATATCTGTACTGGACTGGCAATTGGGTAACCTTCCTCGACTCACTGCTCCAGACGGCTTTGCTAGCGGAACGTGCTGACACTCTTCGTCTCCCGACTCGAGTCCGCCATCTTCGCATCGACCCTGTGAAACATTTAGAGCACCTCATTGAAAAGGACGGTATCCAGGTGAGCTTTCCAAAGTCGCTCATCCTGAAAAATAGCTATTGATCTACTTCAGGTGTTCGAGCTGCGTAATGATCATGCGACAAATGGTTGCATCGCCGGAGGAGTTGAATGCTGTGATCTGACCGCTCACACTGTTTCGAGACGCCTGCAGACTTCTGGACAGGTAAATGAACTTAAATGCCGTCTCATATATGGATTAACATATTGACATACATTCACTGTTTAGCTTTACCATGAGCGCATCTACTTCGTGCCGCATTACGATGACCAGTGCATGAAGGATGTCCCTAAGGATAAGGAGTTCCTCATTCAGTACTCAACTGCGCTAAAATATGGTAGATAGTTGACTCTAGCTTGTCTGTCGACATCTTCTAATTGCATCTTCTATCTAGTTGTCGCTCGTGGTCTTGCGCAATGGGATAAGGCGGGTATCCTGAAGAAAATGACCAACGGCGCCCTGCTGAAGGTCGCACTCGATGCTCTGAAACCTTATGGAGGAAATGAAATCACGGAAACTACGCTACAAACGTTTATGGATGACAGTAGATGCCCAATCTTGCACGCATTCCATGAGATCTTCAATCTGAACTTCACCGACGACATGATCGCCTCGGACTTCGAGGAGTTGGTGGTGAACAAGCTGAAGCCGCTCAGGGCTGTGTTCGACTGCGATCGTCTATGGGCAGCGGCACTGCTTGAGGACCGCGTTATCAAAACCATACAGGTATTTTCGTGATTTCATCTTTGAAGTGGATGTCTGAGATCTGCATCTCATCGTAGGACATCTGCATCGAAAACTCCGCTGGACACAATGCCAAGATGTGTGCTGTGGAGCTGAACTCGTTCGAGCAGCTGAAACAATGCGTCGAGTCCAACCTGTCTCATCCACTTCTGGAGGTATGTAGAGATATAAATCCAACTACAGTGACCAATAATCATAACTTTTTGTACAGATCGAACATCTTGCTGTTGGTCCAAATGTCGATCAACTGGACGACAATTCTCTTGAGCAAGTTGGAGCTCGTAAAGTACGCCTGACTATCGATGAGAATTTCACCGGACATAATGATGCCAAAAATAACGACTATCTCCTCGTTGACAAAGTCTTGTGCAGGTAGGGTATTGCAAGCGCAGAATCCAACATACTAGCCAAATCCTCATTTTTTCTCCAATTCTTAATTACAGGAAAGAGAATCCGGCTGCTTACCTGAATTCGTTGAAACATCTCTTGCGTGATGACGGTTTCATAATTGTGGTGGAGGTCACGTCTGACTACGAGCTGGCTTTCGTAATCCAAGGTTTGTCTTTGCGGGAAACATAAAATTCAAAATTCTGTCCGAAGGTACTGGACTGATGGAGGTCATGTAGTTAGTCCAGCTTTTGCAATATTCTTTCTTCTTTATGGACCAAATATCATGAAGACGAGTGTACAACTAATCACCTAATCAGCTTCACTGTTATTGCGTTTTCCCTGCACACAGAACGTAGTAAATTTTGAACCCACACCGTTGTTTGTCACAACTTCACTTTTAACTGCGATTTTCCGCTTCTTTTGGCGCATCTTCGACCGCTAGAAACATTTCTTGTCTCAAGGCTTCTTGCTAATTAGTGTTGTGGTGACCGATGTTTCCTCCGAAAGATAGATTGATGTTTTCGACTTTCTTGTAGTCAGTCAACTGTTTTTCAGGTCTGTTTGGCCAGGAAGTGTCTGTCACGAAAGAGCGACAGTTTGGCACCTACTTCTCGCACGAGGAGCTGTTGAAACTGTTCAGCGAAACTGGCTTCAAGCTATGCAACTATCAGCGTGACCCGTCGCTGATGACAACATCGTACATCATTCGCAAGACGCCTTCTGTTCCACGAGATCCTGTTTTCATCGACGTTGACGACGTCAAGGAGTTCACCTGGATCGAGCCATTGCAGAAGGTCATTGAAGAGCGTCTCAATGAACCAGACAGCAAGACAATCTGGCTCATGAACACAAAGGTATTGTGTTGTTGAGTTTTTGGGTGCGTTTAACAGCGTCTCCTGATGCAATTAGCGTTTTAGGTGCGCAATAATGGTGTGATCGGACTGGCTCTCTGTTTCGTGGAGGAAAATCTGAAATCGAACCGATTCCGCTCAATTGTCGACATATCTTTGAATAGGAAGCGACGTGAAGGACCGGCAGAAATTAAGCTCGGTGATCCGAAGATACAGAAATTGATAGACCTTGACCTGCATGCTAACAATTACAAGGACGGTGTATGGGGCTCGTTGCGGCATTTCGTCGTTAAAGA